ACCCCCCCCACCCACACACACCCACACCCTCCCGCACACACACACACCCTAGCTTGGGAACTATAGTCCTCACCCTGGTTCCAAGTCTTGCCACAAAGACACACGAAGATCACTCCTTCTATAGCCTATAGAAAACCTTCTTTGGTCTGGTTGCAGGTGGGGTGGACCATATACAGGCTCTACTCTCATGGATGCTACCCCTGTGTCTGAGACTGGATGTATGGGTATGAGGGCAAGGAAGAAGGGGTTTCCCATTTCACTTTCCTGGCAGGGATAAAGAGGGATGGAGATATTTGCCAAAGGAGGTCAGCAGCCTTTGAGTTAGGCCCGGGCAACTTGAGAGCAGTGGGCAGAGGAGAAAGCACGTTTGAAAGGGTAAATGCTGAAGGAACATGGTCAGGTGCATGGAGGGGGCAGTAGGTGCTGTGAGGGAGGGGCAGGAAGGCATGAGGGATTACTGGGTCCATTTAACACCATCCTGGGGTGGGGGATAGTTAAGGTGGCACCTGGGCACCTCACGGGAGCATAGGTCATGTCAGCCTGGCATTGGTTCTACTCTTGTTTTCTAGGGAGAGCTTAGCCCCTGGGGAGACTTGAGGCCTGGGCTACTGAGCTTCCTTGCCTGTTCATGCAAACCTGCTGACTTCTTTCTAATCCTAGCTAGTTCAGAGCATGTCACTAACAGGCCATCTTTCTTCCATTGTGGCTATGGCTCCCTGACAGTTGACACCCCTCCCTGTCTAAGGTCTGGCCTCTTGCTTCCCTCTAGACTTTTCCAGAGGAGAAACAATCTAGGTTTGAAGGGCTCTTGGTATCCAAGTGTCTGCTGGACCTGGTCATGAGCCCACAGTTGGCCCTTTAGGGATGTGTAGGGGTCAGTCTGAGTGCACCCAGGACAGCAACCAGGGCCCATATCTCTAAGGTGCCTCTTGCAAGAGGATGGCCCAGGATTATTGCTCAACTGCTCCAATCTCAATTTTGGATCAGCAAATTGGGGGTGGGAACAGAGCTAACTACTCAAGAATGTCAGGAGGGAGGAGGATTTTGCATAATGAGATAATGCAAAGGAAGCCCCAGGCATGTTAGGTGCTCTTAGCCACTAGTCTTCTGTGTTAGCTTCAGGTGTTCCTTAACTGCTAACAGGTGGCCCAGCCCAGCTGGTTCTTCCTTGCTCCCAGCCTCCTCCTACCTCGAACAGAAAAGGCCCTTCAGGTCCCACACAAAGCTTCAGCTACAGTGAGAAGCTCCTAGGGTCCCACACTCTATGGGCCAAGCCTGCCTTTTTTCCCCTAAGTGGGGGCAGGTGGCCTTTACTCTAGGTAGTGACCCTGGCTGCCCCTGTGCAGACTCTTGTGGCCCTTGTTCCTGCCATGAAATACTGTCTCAGAATTAAACCATTGTGCTTCATTTAGATCATTGGTGGTCTCTACCAGGAATGAGATAGAGTTAGTGGCCATGTTCTGTAAAAGTTAATGCATTCTGACAAGATGGACACTCCTGGGACTGGTCCCCCTGCCCCAATAACCACTGTTGTATGACAAGAAACCCTGAAATAATTTGCTTTTCCTTTGTGGGCTCTCAGTGATGCATTTTCGCTGATCATCATCCTGTCATCCACCCATTTATATACCCACTCTTCCTGCTCACATTCTACCTGTACCTTAAGTTCTCACTTATCCATCTCTCCAGCCTTTACTCACCCAGCCCATCTATCTCACTCAAGCATGCCACTTAATCCACCTACATTTCCATCCTCCCATCCCCATTCATCCAGTTCTCTATCGGTCTATACACCCGTCACACACATTTATCCACCCACCCCTTCCACTCATCTGTCCATAGATCTGTGTATTCAATCCCTGATGCACCCATCCCTCTACTGGCCTGGTCCACCCACCAGTTCCTCTCTCTGTCCATGCATTCATTCACCCATCAATCTTTCTACTCATGTTTCCCCTCTCATCCACATCTCCAGTTACCCACTCACCCACCCATCCCTTTCTCATCCATCTACGTGCCTACATTGCTTATCCTTTTATTTATCCACTCCTCTACCTATCTATTTCTCCATTCTCCATTCACCTATCCACTCACCCAGCATTCCATCTCTCTACTCACCCATCTCCCCATTTGTCTATCTACCTGTCTCTCTACCCACCCACCCACCTAACCATCTATCTCTCTGTTCATCCTGCAATCCACCTACCCACCTATCTACCTACTTACAAATCCTTTCCATCCATCTCTCTCTCTATCCATCCATCCTTCTTCCATCCAAATGCTAGCTGGACCTGTGTCAGCACAGCATGAAACAGCAGTGGCATGGCTGAGGAGCGTGGCTCACTCTCCATCTGGCCTTCAGCCTCTCCCTTCTCTTGGTAGACTACAGGCCTTTCATGTAGTACAGGACACGGCAGTGGACACCTGTCAGCTATTCCTGATGGACCAGGATACTTTCCTGACCCCATGCCACCTCTGGACACCTCATTAAGTCAGTCACAGTGGCAGGAGTAGCATGAACCAGAGCTCACCTTGGCCCTGTTCGTATTCTCGGTGCCGGCGCCGGCGTCGGTGGTGATGGTGATGGTGACGGTGGTGGCGATGGTGGTGTTGCTGGATCCGGGCCTGTCTGTCCCTCCTGATGCTTCCCACAATGATGGTGATGCAGGAGAGGGTGATGACCACACCTATGACAGCACTTGCCACCAGCACTGGAGACACCAGCAGATGGCTGTGCTCAGAGCTCTCCGAGAATGTGGTAGGGTAGAAGTAGCTGGTGCGGTTGTATCGTGCTACTGTGGACAGAGAGAAGGGACACTGAGCTGGGTCCCAGGCCTGCCACACACCTTCCTCCTTCAACCCTGCCATCCTGGGAGTTTATTCCTAAATAAATGGAGGATAGTCAGGATCAGGCTTCTCACCTTGATTGCTCCCGCTGTGGGGGAGGGAAGCTGAACTCCACCCAACTCTCTGTAGGGGCTTCTGGTGTTTATAGGTTATCTTCTTTCATTTCTTCTGCACCTTCTGCTCTGGAAGCCCAACTAGCCCATAGATAGGAAAACTCAGATAGGGCAATGGCCCTGCTCAAGGCAGAGCTGAGGCTCAAACCTAAGAATCTTAGTAGTAGACTAGGACTCTCTTCCAAGACGTCAGGTTGAAACATCTTTACCAAGTCTTGGGGAGAAGCAAGAGGTGTGCAGATAGTAGAGTATAAGGATTTGGGGCCAGGATCTCAGGGAGGGATGAAAATCGGCCAGAGCAGCCACAGGCACCTGCCACATGACTCAGGGATGACCATCATCTTAGTGATTACCACTAAATTCCTCCAGCTTGCTGAGGCTGGGGGTACAGGTGTCCCTCATCATAGACAAGGGGGATGGGCTCAGTGTTAGAAGAGTCCATCCCACAGCTAACTAGTTACTCTGTTGCTGAGATAAGCTAGAAGTGTGACTCCCAAGTCCAGAGCTCCCTCTCTAACATACCTGGCCCTCGATGGGAGCCTTTCCTGAGGTGTATTCCCAACCTCTGGGCAACAGTGGGACATAGATTCTCAGACTTAGTGGACATCAGGGGTATGGCAATCATGGTGGGAAGTCGGGTCATTCCTGGACCCTGTTCTGAGAGGGGTTTCCACTTGTCTGCCCACAGCCCATGTTAGGTGCACTGTTGCTTAGGATTGTATTTGTTTCCAGGCTGTGGATTTGATAATCCTGTGTCCTCATGTTCAGCAACCAGGCCAGGTATACCAAAAGTGCCAAATATGTGTATGGTGTGAGTGGATCCAAACTTGAGACCAGATGAGAGAATGCCAGGGAAGGTTTGAGTTGCTTTGGAGGCCCAGGGCTTCTGTTTTGGGTGGTAAACAAGTGGAGTTTGAATGGTGACCTGCCCAGGTGGCTGCGAAAAGGCTTTTCATCCTATGTGAGGGTCTCTGCATCCTCCATTCAATGGTGGCTGCTTTTCACTTCAAATTCCTTCCCAGCATTTGCCCTAAAGCCCCACCACACTCAGTCCCCAGCAAGGACATCTGGGTAAAGGAAGAATTTGGGAGCTTAGTTGGCATTAGAACATGCTTGGCAGCAGTTTTGGTTCACGCTGGGGGCTTCTGCAGTGCATTGATCATCGTCAGCAGGGGATGTGTCACTGTTATCCATGCCTGATACCTACACCTCGATTGCTGAAGGTCAGTTTATAAACTTCCCTGGTGGGATGTGCACCCCATGGTCCTAACTAGATATGCATGCTTCTCTTTTGCTCCTGTGTGTGTGTGTGTGTGTGTGTGTGTGTGTGTGTGTGTGTACGCACATGTGTGTCAGCATGGAGATGCATGCATGTGGAAACTGAGGTTGAAGTCCAGGATCATCATCTATCACTCTTCCACCTTATGTATTGAAGCAGGGTCTCTCAATCAAACTCAGAGCTCACTGATACAGCTTGTTTCAGTAGCCCAGGGTATACTCTGGGGATTCCTGGTCTCTAACTTCTGAGGCTGGGATTATATGGCCTCCCCACCTGCCCAGCTTTTATATGGGTTCTGAGGATCCAAACTCCAGGCCATAAGCTGGTGTGGCAAGTGCTTTAACCATTGGGTCATCTCTCCAGCTCACAGGCACACTTCCTGACATGAGAATGCTGATGTAAATTGATTTCTGGGATTCTGTGAGGACAAACACAGGCCAATTTTCAGAGGTCCTAATAATGTGTAAGCTCAGGGCTAAGATCTCACTCCATCTTTGAAGTTATGTTCATCCAGGCCTTCCCATTTAACCCAAGGACATCAAGATTCAAAGATATTAGATAACTCACATGCCAATGTGTAACTGAGGCAAGCTCCCTCTGTGCTGTGGTTCTTCTCACTAAGACAGGAGATGGGTAAGAAGCTGGGGGGGGCGAGTACTAGGGGAGGGGAAAGAACTGAGTTATGAAAGAGTGTAAGTTAATTCTTACTGGGATTAAGTCTGTATAAATATGAGGTGTCTTTGGTAAGAGGTATGTGGTAAGCCCTAGAAAAATCACTAAATAAATATGGTGGGAAATCTTTTAAGTGGATCAAAATATTACACCCAAAGTATTTAGTTTTAGCCATAAGTAGAAATGGAGGGGGAAAAGACATGAGACACGCAGAAAGTAAAATGGCATACATAAATACAGCTGTATCAATTGTCATCCTGAATGTGATCTGATTAACCACATGACCAAGAGGTAGAGGCTCTCAGTCTGGGCAAAAATCGTTACTATGTTACTGTCTTTAGGCATCTCATTTGGGAACCAGACTTGAGAGTGAAAGAATGGAAAAATATGTACTATGAAAACAATTACGAGATGGCCAGAGTGACTATAATGATTAAGAAAATGAGACTTTAAAACAAAAAGTCATTTATAATAAAATGGTTAATCTACCAGGAAGCCACAAAAATTATGAACATATATTCACTTAACAAGAGAGTCCCAAAATACATTAAGCAAAGGCTAAAATGCTGAGAGGCAATAGACACAGTACAACAATAGTTGGAACTTCAATACTCCATTTTCTATAAAAGTAGGTAGAAGCCAGGTGTAGTGGCACAGACCTGTAATCCCAGGACTTGAGAAGTAATGACAGAGAATCATAAGTTCAAGGTCAGCCTCAGCTACATAATGAGACCCTCTCACAAACCAATGAATGAGCCAGTAAGCAACAAACAACTAAGCAGAAGACAAAAAGCAAATATAAAACTCAAACAAAATTATAAGCTACTTAGACCTAACATACACCCACCGAACACTCTGCCAGACAGAATATGCATTCTTCTCTAGCACAATGGGACATTCTCCAGAATGGTCCATATGCTAGGCTGTAAGATGAGCTCCAATTTATTTAAAATGATGGAAATTATACAAACTATGTTCTTTGATTACATGGAAGATTAGAAGTGGATAACACAAAGAAATTTGTGAAAATAATATGTATGTAGAAATTATTGGTTAGTACTTTATATTCCATCCTAGAGCCTTCATCCAGTAGCTGATGGAAGCAGAAGCAGACACCCACAGCTAAACACTGAACTCCCGAATCCAGTTGCAGAGAGGGAGGAAAAATGAGCAAAGGGGTCAAGACCAGGCTGGTGAAACCCACATAAACAGCTGACCTGAACAAGGGGGAGCTCATGGACTCCAGACTGATTGCTGGGAAACCAGCATGGGACTGTTCCAGAGCCCCTGAACATGGGTGTCAGTTAGCAGGTCTGGTTAATCTATGGGGCCTCTGGTAGTACACGAATGGACTTTGGGAACCTATTCCACATAGAGGGATACTCTCTCAGCCTAGACACACGAGGAGGGTCTAGGCCCTGCTTCAAATGATATGACAGACTTTGAAGATCCCCCCATGGAAGGCCTCACCCTCACTGGGGAGCAGAAAGGGGATGGGATAGGGGGGTTAGTGGGGGGCAGGGGAGGAGGGGAGGGAGGAGGACTTGGATTGATATGTAAAACAATCTTGTTTCTAATTTAAGAAAAAAATCTGGGAAAAAATGAAATTAGGCAACACATCAAGAAATAAATTACAAATCAGAGTGAAAAGCACAGGGGAAATTCAAGCTTATGTTGAGATGAGTTAGAGTGAAAACCAGCATAACAAACCCTGTGAGATGATGCTAATGTAGTGGTTAAGGGATGTTTACAGCTTTAAGTGACTATATACTTTTTAAGAAGATCTCAAGTCAACAAATAGTTTCTACCTTAGAATCCTGGAAAGAGAAGAGCAAATTGAAGTCTGTAAGAAGAATGAAGGAAAAAAGATTAGAATAGAAATTTGTGAAATTAGAGACACAAAAGATAATACAGAAAGTCAGAGGCCATATATTTTTTTAAGATGAACAACATAGAAGAGTCTTAAGGTAGAATGACCAGGGAAGGGAGGCTGAAAGGAGAAGGTTCAAAATACTAAGTCAGACATGAGAGAGGGGCATTACTACAGACCCTACAGAAATGTAGTTACCAAGGAATATTAGGATCAATTAAATACCAGGAACTTGGATATCTTGCATGAAATGTACGAATTCTTAGAAATATACAAAACTGAGTAAATAGACCCAGGATAATCAGAACCTCTCAACAGATTTCTCACTAGTGAAGAGACTGAATGACTAATAAAAACAATCCCACAAGGAAAAATCCAGCACAATACTTCTCCTTTGGTGAAGTGTACCAAACATTGAAAGAATAAATAACTTTAATAGGTACAAAGTTTCAGTTTTGGATGATGAGGAAAGTTCTAGAGAGGATGGTGACAGTTACACAATATATGAATGGATACAATGCAATTCATTTGTATAGTTAAAATAATTATATATATGTAATAATTATGCATATATACACACATATGAAATAATGCCAATTTTCACAGAATTCTCAAAAATAATAGATAGGTGAGAATGTTTACCAACTCATTATAAAATGCCATCCTTATCCAGATACCAAAACCAAATAAAGGCATTACAAGAAAAAAAGCATAGTTCAATATTTATAGATCAAAACCTCCTGTTAACAATGCTAGTGAACTGAGTTCAGTAATGCTTGACTTCATGATTTCTGATTTGGCAAACAATTCTTGGATATGACATCAGAAGCTAGAGAAAAACAAATAAACATAAAATTTAATAATCTGTTTGCACCAAAGGAAGCTAGGAAGGAATGGAAAAGACCATAGAATGGGAGAGAAATGTTTGTGAAGTAGCTATCTCAGAGGATATGAGAGTCTAGAATATATAAAGAACTATTAAAACAGCAATAATATAAAGAGTGTGCCAAGCAA